TGAAGCCAGGGATCCAACAGATGAGGAGATGGAGGCCTACAGAATGAAAAAGCAGAGACCTGATGGCCCCATGGCCTCTTTTCTTGGGCAACAACCACAGGAAGCACCATTCCAGTACACAAAGCTTTTCCCACTGTTGTTTACAACTGTCTAGACACTTAATTTTGTACATGTCTAAAAGAACAAAAACCTTTTTTTGCTCTGAAGAAATTTGTGAAAGCTGCTTTTATGACCAGCCTACTAGTTACTGGAGTTTTGTAAATGTGTGTGTATATATACAAATACAGCCAAATATACACACACACATATATATAACATATGTATACATAAAATACATGCACCTACTCTGTAAGTTCTTGAAGGAGATCTGATTGAAATCCTGAAATTTGGCCAACTAATACATATATATATATATTTGACCAACTAATGCATAAAGTTGTAATGCAGTAAAACTGACTAGTCAGAAGAAATGGTCAGCAGGTGTCAACACACAACAAAAATGCTTGACAAAAATTGACATAGCTACTACTAGAGCTTCGAGCTTCTCACTTGTTAAGCCTGTCTCATGACTGTAAAAGAATACAGAGTTTCTTGATCACTTTACAGTGGAATATTCCTGTCAGAGCTGGAAAATGAAATTTCACAAATCAAGCAGCAGCATGGGGAAGCAAACAAGGAGAATATCCAACAAGACTTTATTGACTTCATCCTGACTTGTCTGCATTAAGACATTCTTGTGCTGCGTGTGTTAAAAACTACAAAGCAGACACTTTGGAGATGCTGTGTCTGTAGACACCTCTAGTTGCAGTTGTGTGAGGTGGTAAAGGGGTATTTCTGTAATTTCTTTTCCTTGTTTTAAATTCTAGGAGGAGGTAGGGTGGACTTAAAACATCCTGTTTAAATGTATCACGGGCACCATTAAATGTACTCTGAATTGTTTCACTTTTTATATACTTAAACCAGTAGCTGTTATATTGTTGTGTTTTCCTCCATGCCTTTAATAAATCATGTTTTGCTTAAAAAAAGAAATAAAAATAAAAGGAACAGAGCTGCAGCAGCCAAGCCATATCTAGACCAGAGCAATTAAATAAATTAAATATAGATGAGCCATTCCCAATTGATGGGAAGGTGCCACCCCAAAAAGGGAAGGGAAAACTCCATGACTCTGCCCTCTATTCTTCCCCCTAACACTCGTGGTTGAAAAAGAGGAGGGGAAAAAGCAATAAAAACCAAACCCCAAAAACCACACACAGTAAGGAGGAAAATACTAAAAAAAAAAAAAAAAGTAGAAAACGCCTTTTCCCAGCATATTTTGCCTTTTTAAACTCAGAGTTGGGTTTTCTTTCCATGACTCGTATGTTTCCAAGTGCCATTTCCACATCACGGTTCCATCCTGCCATTTGTTTCCCCACACCTTAGCAGCTGTGAAAAGTGCACATTATATGGCTCTGCATAGATATTTGCTACATGTAATATGTTGTATTGATTAGTAGTGCTGTAATAACCTTTTAATAGCATTGTAAATGTAGTTTTGTAGTTAAAATGTAACTTTTGAGGTTAAAATAGAAACTATGTGTGTGGGATATCTTTTTAAAGATAGGAATGAGGTACTCACAGTGAGATAGCAGCCACAGGACACCTGAATCTTTCAGAGAAAGAGAATTTATTGCTCCATTATCAGAAGGAAAGAACTTTTTCCCACCTTGCTCAGCCCTGAAGACACTTTAGGATTCAGAGGAAGAAGCTGACACTGCCCAGACAGAATCCTGTGTTTGAATGGAATTTATGCATCATGGATGAGGTGTATGAATATGCAACAGGCTCTTGCTTTTAAGGGTTAATCCTCTGTTAACACGGGTCCTTTTTTGGGCTCATTTTGCCCAGAAAAGATACCCAGACCGTCTGTAACTCTTCGTTTTCTATTGTCTTGTATTGTCCTAATCCAAAATGTCCAAATTTTTATTATTCTAATTACATTACTATTTTTATAACCTTTTCATTACTATAAAACTTTAAAAAATCTTAAAAACAAGCGATTGGCGTTTTTCCCAGCAGCTGAGCGCTGACTCACCGCTGTTTTTGTCACTGCTGTGCCCAGGACTCGCTGTGCGTTTCTCTCTCCTGGGCTGCCTCACCTTTTGCGGCTCTTTGGGCTGCGCATCCTCCGCGGTCCAGGACGGCGTTTGCAGTTCGCGGTTCTGTTCGCACTGCTTTGTGTTTCATTTTCTCCCAGCTGTTGTGTTCATTTCTGTGCATTCCACACCTTCTGCCCCTTCCCTGGCTCTGCTTCACCGCCTCTTGTCTTTGCTGGTTGCACACCGATCCCGCTGCTGACCGTAGCCGTAACCTTTTGCTCCTTTGCATATCCCTTTTGCTGCTTTGCATATCCCTTTTGCTGCTTTCCATATCCCTTTTGCTCCTTTCCATACCCCTTTTGCTGCTTTCCATATCCCTTTTGCTCCTTTCCATATCCCTTTTCCTCCTTTGCATATCCCTTTTGCTCCTTTGCATATCCGCTCCTTGAATTTCTATCCGTGCTGATCCTGTGGCCAGTGCTGCGCTGTTCCTGTGCTGGCTGCAATCTCCCTTTCACATCTTTGTTTATTCCGTCTCTAAATCCCGTCCCGCGGTCGGCTTGGCTGGTTTCACCTCCTCCTTTTGTGACAGGCTGTTAATCTCGAGTCGATCACGTCTTTGGGGACACCTTCTGTTGGAATAAATCAGCCCAGGCTCCATTTTCTTCATGCAGAAAGCCAATTCTTTATTCACCAAGCTCATATTTGTAGGAAATATCAGAAGGCACTGTGTTGAACCTAATTGGCCAGCAATACAGTGAAACTCAGTTCATTGGATGATAAAGGCTAGTGTAAGTGTCTATCACATTTTCTCTCTCTAGATATGTTTACATTTTTCCTTTGCAGGCTCCCATGGGATAAATTTCATTGTTTACACAGATGCATTTGTTTTTTTCACCCTCAGAATAGATTGTTGTGTTAAATAAACTTCTCATTTGCAGAATATATTTAACAACTAGGGATGTATGTCCATGGGAACTTGCAAATTGCTTGTTAGCTGCATTTAGAAGAAATGTCAGGCCAGCTTTGGCAACTTCAGCAGAGCAAGGCCTGATTTCATAAGGCTTTTATTTAATAATTCTCCTACCTGTCTATGACACTCTACCGCTTTTCTACCTCTTTATCTTCTAGGGGAAAGCATCAAATGACACCTCTGGGCTGAATGATTTAACTCCAAGTGCTCATAGTTAGCAATAGTTCATAGTTAGCAACTCTACAGCTTGGCCTGGGTGGTTTCCAGCTCTTTCCCATATTTGAAAAGTGCAAAAAGATATTTAAGACTAGATCTGGTGAGACACTAAAGTGTGTCCCTTATTTCTGTCCCTGGGAAATAAGACATTGCACACTGAGAAAAATGCCAAAGAGAAGAGGGGTAAAAAGTGAACAATCATCATAAAAATGCAGGAAACTGTCACTGCATGGTGTGATGAGCAGGAGCTCTGTCCCTCATCCCAGGGGGACACCAGGGCACTGTCACCAGGTGTGTCTGTGCTTCTTGCAGGGACCATGGCTGTGTGACAGACTCAGGACACTCTCACTCAATAATTCACCTGCTCACCACGTTTGAAATTCAGTCCAGAGCCTCTGATTGGCTGCACAGGACCAAACTTTGGGGCTCTGCAGACCAGAATAAGATGTTACAGGCTCCAAATTCCAGGCTGTGGATCCTTCAGTGAAAATTAGCTTCTCACAGCGTATTTTCATAGTGCAGAATGCGTTCCTGTTTCTTTGTACAATATAACACAATATATCAACATAACCCAATGAATTTAATTCATAATAGCAATTAAGACCCCGAGAGGGTGGATCAGCCAGGGAGGATCCAGCCACTGGGGAAGCACTTCCAGGAGCAGACGTGTGAGAGCCATCTGTCGCCTCTCCACACTCAGTGACAGCCACAGCAAGGCTCTGCAGCCTGCTCAGAAAATTCACACCATGCTGAAGGCTTGCTGAATACATTCTGCAGCAGAATACATTCACCAGGGGTGAGTTGTGCTCTGCACTGGAGGGGAGGTGAGGCTCGGCCTCGGTGGTGCCCTGCAGCTGCTGCCTCTCCCTCTCCTGAAGGGAAATGTGGGGTTTGCACAGCTCTGAGTGCTCCCTGCAGAGAGCGTCCTGCCCCCGCTGGAGCAGGCTTTCCTCTGTGTGATGGTGGGGAGCAAAATCCAAATTCCTCCTGAGAAACGTGGTGAAGTGCTGTCAGAAAGGGGAGAACTCTGTTCCAGGTGACCCTGGTGAATACCCTGCACTCCTTTACCTGCAGTCACAAATCAATGAACTTTCCTTTCCATCCTTCTGCATAAAAATGGAGTGACATGCACACATATAAGGCAAAAAAAAATCACCACAGGCCTTACAAAACCTGTCAGTGCTGCACAGGCTCCTTTCCCCAGGGAGAGTTGGAGGAAACAAGCATGAGACAGTCACTCATCATTCTGCTTAAGACAAGGCTGGGAGGCCCGGGGATGCTGCAGCAAAACCCACAGCAAAGCTGAACAGCAAAGAACTGACTGAGCCAGCTCCTGGCCCACAAAATGCAGGAATCAGATCAGCTGAGGACAGGAGCTGCAGGGATTCCAGGACTACCTGGTCTCCTTGGACCACATCATGCCTTCAGCTTTTGGGTCTTCTCTGGTGTGTGATGATGTGGGACTGAATTCCCATCTGGCCAGGTGAATGTGCTTCAGACACACCTTCAGCCCTGCTTGCACCTGGCTCCTGTCCTAGGGGTGCACCCTGAGAGTGGGACCCGTGTGGTTTGTGACCACATGAAGGCATCAGCTCCAAAGTGCTGACTGAGGCTGGTGTGTCCCCAGGGGCAAGGCTGGCAGGGCTGTCAGAAGGCCAAGAAGCACCTGAAACCACTGGGTACCTGCATGGCAGCCCCCCATGCCTTGCTCCCTGTCTTTGCTCTTTACTTGTCCCAACATCATGCACAGCACCAATATTTATATACAAAACATGACTGTGATTTCAGCAAAAAACAAACTGCCCCCTCAGTCCATTAATAATCTTGTTTCACTGCCAAAACATTTCCATTTCCTTTTCTCCAGGCCTTCTTTGTCTTCCTTATGTCTATTTTTACTGCATTTTCTGACAGGCAGCCTGTCAGTTTGCCATTTAGGTGAATCTTTCTGCAGTGTGGCCAGCGAAATACGAACAGCAGAGAAGCCTGCTAATTAAAACCACTGCCTGTAATTTATAGATGTGCTGTCTGCGCTCGAGGAGGGACAGAGAGCAGAAATCACTGCCCTCTCTGCAGAGGGCTGTGAGGACAGCCTGGGGTCATGCAGCTGCTGCAGAGTCCCCTGTCCCTGCTGATGTCACTTGGCCACGGACATTGGGGATATGGGTTCATTGAGCACAGAATTCCAGCTGTCCCCGTTTATCGTGGATATTTTTGCTCGCGATGAGGGGAGAGAATGATGAGGAGGACTCCATTGATATCAAAAGGCTAATTAATTACTTTATTATACTATATTATTCTATATATCTAAAACTGAATCTGCCAAGCACTCACTCTGCACACACTGCACAGAATCTCATGGCTGTCAGTGACAGTCCTGACGCACACACACACATTTGGCCCTGACAGGCCAAGGAAACAAAACACCATCACTGTGGGTAAATAATCTCCATATTGCATTCTACTTTGGCACAAACACAGGCACAGCAAATGAGATAAGAATTGGTTTTCCTTTCTCTGAGCTTCAGAGAATGCAAATCCCAGAAATATTCTTGCAAAGACGTGCCTTGCTTTTCTCTGTGAGGAGAAATTTGGGGCTACACCCGTTCCTGCCGAATTCCTCAGGGAGCCGTTCCCGTTCCCTGGGCAGCCTCGGTGAAAAGGGCATCTCCCGGGCAGGGAGAGCAGCAAGGAGCTGGGGCTGTGGGCCCATCCTGGGGGTTGTGGGTCCATCCTGGGGGTTGTGGGTCCATCCTGGGGTTGTGAGGCCATCCTGGGGCTCTGAGCCCATCCCGGGCAGTGTGGGGCTGGGGCTGTGGGTCCGTCCTGGGGGTCTGAGCCCATCCTGGGGATGTGGGTCCAT